CATTTAATGTTTATCAGCTTCAACTGTGACTTCAGGACTTCTTTGAATCATATCCAGTATGTCTTGGCAACCTCTAATGACCATGTGGAGCTTCAACTGTAGCGGGGTAGAGTTTGTTTAAAAAAATAAATCCTCCCCGCACTGTGCAATTATTTCCTGTTGAACAATAAGATCAGGAGAGTCTTCCAAATACGCATTGTGTCATTCTGCATATGTTTATGAAGAATGTTCAGCAATATAAAGAGAACATGACTTAGTGAATTCTGGTTCCTTCAGCGCATGCCAGATCATTCTAGTAAAGTTTGTTCTCTTAAATGATATAGAAAGATGCAACATCAAGGTTCCCAGACGCTCCCTGCAGAGTGGGGAGTTGGGAATATGTGAATTATGAACTTTGCCTATAGGTTGCACTAGTAGGTTTTTTTTTTTTTTTTTGAGACAAGATTTCTTTATGTAGCTTTGACACCTTTCCTGGAACTTACTCTGTAGCCCAGGCTGGCCTCGAACTCACAGAGCTCCGCCTGCCTCTGCCTCCCGAGTGCTGGGATTAAAGGCGTGCGCCACCACCGCCCGGCCCATAGGTATTTATTATATACTTCTCTATATGTATAGATACATGTAAATCTCCATTTATTATCTATAGCATACCTAAATAATACAGATGCAGTCAGTCTATAAATATGAAAGATGCATAACTAATGTTTTATCCTGTGGTTAGCACTTTTGTTTTGACTGGCCTGCCTACAACTTTGAGAATGATTATCATCTGATGGATTTGGCACATACTTTTTCTTCCTTTCCACATATTGCCAATTCTTCAAGGCCTGGCAAGTCCCATTTTCACCCATGAAGCCTTTTGCCATCTGTAGACTGTACGTAATTTGATCGAAATCAACTACCTTAAAGTCTGCTTCCAAGAGAAACAAATATAAACAGAGTGTGTATGTACAGTGTGCCTTGCCAAATGACTTTTCTCTTGCTTACCAAGGAAGTGCTCAGTAGATATTTGTTGATTCCAAAATGCATATAATAGAACTACTCCTTGCTTTGCCTGTGTACTGAACATGTAGAACTTGGTAACTGAATGAATTGTTTTCTGTGTTCTTTGCTACTGCTATGTAGAATGGTTATGGTCATTCCCCTAGTTCATATACAGAGCCTGATATTCTAATTCTCAATATAATTACCTAATCTTTATACTTATGATAATTCCTGAAGACTTACCTTGTATTCTTCATAGTCCTAAATTCAAGCTTTGAAAATAGGAAGAGCTGAAGAGATGTCTATGTACTGAACTTGGTGAATTAATGATTATAAGTTTACTTTGAGTTATTTTGTTCAGAGAATCTTGATGCTTTGTCTTCATTACGAAAGCTACACATTGAAGTGACAGTCCCTCGATTATTTCCAGAAGCTCTCCATGTCCTAGCCAGATTAAGCTTCTCTGCACAGGAGGGATTTGGTTACTTCTCCCTGAGGCTGCTGTGAAATCCAAGGGGATGCTGAGCTGCTGACTGAGTGATATACAAAGATAGACAACATACTTTATACGGTGAACTTCTTATATCCATCAGACCTTTACGGATGTTTCTCACCAGCAGTATTCCAGGTACAGCCAGTGGATAGAGCAACCTGGTAGAGCCTTCTAAAAATGAGGCTACTTTGACCATTCTTAAGGATGGAATAAGAAATTCTCCATGAGAATATATAACTTGCACTGAGGAGGAGATAGAGAGCCTCATATTAAGGATGAGTGAGACAAAAAGCACATTATTACACATTAAGCAATACAGTGATGGCACTGTTCAATGTTTGGTTCCTATTAACTTTTCCACAGGGCAATTAAATTTAATTAAAAAAAATCCTCTCAGACCCAGTGTATTTCTGGTTGTGTATTTGCCCAAACAAGTAAAACCCTGCTTAAAGATTCAAGAGCCAACATTCTCTTACCATACAGACCTATCATCTTCAATCTAGCTCCTGGGAAGATTTTTTTTTTACAGGTGATTTCTTCATGATAACCCAATAGGGACACCTATTGCACTGATCAAATCAAACTAAAGAATGAATTATAAAACTATATTTTCTTTTAATTCTTCATCTATATTTCTAGTCTGCCTTATATGGAAAGAGGGAAATTGAAAATAAAATAATTTGATCCAGACCTGGCTAAAAAAGGAACACATGGTCCATGAAAGTCATCTGAAATCATGACCCATTTTGTGTCATGTGGTAAGTTTGGCTGAATCTATTAGATGAGGGGCAGATAAACACACACACACACACACACACACACACACACACACACACACACACACACCAGTGTGTATAAGCATGCTTGAACAGGCTTGTCTATATCCTCTGAAGCAATCAATATACAATCAATATACAATCTGAAGCAATCAATATACCCTACTTTTAATCTCCAGGTCATTTTAAGAAAGTTTTCTGGAATACTCAAATATTTTAATTTGCTTAGTTTAACAAGAAAGAGAAAAATGTTTCTCTGTTAAATTATTTCCTAAATAGAAGGACTGGTAAAATGCATGATTTGTACTTACTATAAAATATTTTCTTACTGTTCTTTCTCCAAGTCAACACAAATTATTAAAAAGAAAACTAAGAAGCTATTTTTGGAAGTGGCTGTTAAAATCACCACTTTGTCTGAGGGGCTCCATTCCTGTATTCACTGCAGCACTATTCACAAGGGTCAAGACAGGAGGCAGATAAGGGTTAAGACTGAAGATCTGGCCACAGTATGAGTGCACCTACAGGACATTAGTCTAAGTAAAATAGGTAAGATCCAGAAAGAACAACAAACATGATGGCATTCATGTGTAATTTTCAAAAGAAAAGGCCAAATGTATAGAGAGAACAGTGGTTACCAGAGTTGGGTAGGGGAAGAATAAAGACTATGATTCACAGGGTACAAAGTAGCAGATATGCAGTATTAACAAGTCCAGTGATTTAATGGACACCAAGAGGATTATAGCTGCTGTGGGATGTTTGGTATGGCAAATGTGTTGCTAATTAGTCAATAAATAAAACACTGATTGGCCATTGGCTAGGCAGGAAGTGTAGGCGGGACAAGGAGGAGAATAAAGCTGGGAAGTGGAAGGCTGAGTCAGAGAGACACTGCCAGCCGCCATGATGAGAAACAGCATGTGAAGATGCCGGTAAGCCACGAGCCATGTGGCAAGGTATAGATTAATGGAAATGGATTAATTTAAGCTGTAAGAACAGTTAGCAAGAAGCCTGCCACGGCCATACAGTTTGTAAGCAATATAAGTCTTTGTGTTTACTTGGTCGGGTTTGAGTGGCTGTGGGACTGACAGGTGAGAGAGATTTGTCCTGACTGTGGGCCAGGCAGGAAAACTCTAGCTACATATAGCTAAAGACAGATTATTACATCCAGGATTTCTGCTATACAAGTAGATCATGGCTTCTCTTGCCACAGAGAGAAAAATGGGTAATTATGTATACACACTCACACACACACACACACACACACACACACACACACACACACATTCTTTGTAACATTGTATAGCATAAATATATACAATGAAATTCATTTAATCATTTATTATTATTATTATTATTATTATTATTATTATTATTACTATTTTGGCCTTTACTCGTCATGAAGTCGAAGGCTGTTCAAATGTTTAAGCTGTTGAACAGACCCTGGAAATTGTCTAGGTTGGAAAATAATTCGAGCTCTAATTTCTTAGTCTGGGATGCCTTTTTCAGCCTTTTTGAAGGTTCTTATGCTGTACTTTTCACTTCATGGGCTTTAAAATCCTCAAGCCTTGCCCCGAACTGAAAGTCACCTTAGTGAAGAAAGGAGAGATTAAACCACCATGACTTTGGCCCCGGCAGAGGATCTGAGCTGTAATTCTTTGGCTCAGAACCAGGGTCTAAAAGCAGCCATGGGAAAAGCTGCTGTAGTGCAGCCTGCGAGTCTCCCCACGTCTGACTTGCATAATGTTGACATTATAACACCAGAGAGACCCAAAAATATTTCAAACAATTATGACTTCTTTTCTCTAAATATTTTGGAATCGCCTTATGAAATAAAACAACACACCCTCCCCTTTCCCCCTTCCAGGCTTCGTCTTGACACGTCAGCAGCTTACTACTGTGCTTTTATTTTTGGTCACAAGGTCAGCAGGACATCGTAAGGCGTTAAGTCGCCTGTTAAACTGTGTTTTCCAACAGGAGCTGGGTGTTGAGTCGGGGAGTCAGCTACTCTTAAAGCGACAATCGAGCCCAGTGCCACGGCATGGAAAAAAAATGTGTTGTTCCTGCCCTCTGGTGAAACCCAGGCAAAGAAAACTCACTTTAAAGTCCCCCATCTCTTATCGAGGATACTTTTCCCCCCAGACAGACACCCCCAACACCCACTTTCATTATTCTTTGTTTCTGCTATGACATGTGAGTCTGAAAACACTGAGACTACCAGGAGACTATAGAAGAGAAGGGAAAATATTCAGACAGCCAAGGCAGCTCACAACTTCGGGATGTGTCTGTCACCTAGCTCAGGTGTCTTCTTCCCTGTAACTCAGCCAGACGGAAACCACGCAGAGAGCCAGGGGACAAACTCACTGGACGCCTGCAATTGCCCCTCTCAGAGAATATGATTAAGAGGACTGCATTCTGGAAATTCAAGCTCTGGAAATAGACTCCGCTACGCTTAGTCACAGGTGAGCTGAGCGATTAGTCGGTTACCAATGCTTTGGTGCAATTTTAATATCTCTCCCAAAGACCTGGCTTGTCTTCATCAAAAATGACCCCGGTACACTATGTAACATTGATTTCCAATGTGAAAACACCAGATGCCAAAACTGACGACCATAGCCCTCCTTAAACATCCCCAGAGCAGCCCTCCTGGCTTATGATTTTAAAGCTACCAGAAACTTAAGACAGTTTCATTCGGATTTAACACAGCTCTGCTTTGTTCCCTAACGCCACAAGTGAGAAAGGAAAGCAGGGCTCACCCTCATTTCCAGAAAAGGTGTCGCTGGAGACTGCCAGTGCCAAGGTTAAGAGCACCCGCCAAAGATCCATACCTGTGAGACCTGCAAATCAGAAAAAGCACAAGGTCAAGCAAAGCAGCGCTAGATTGTGGTCATAACACAACCTTCAAAGCCCAGGGAAGCCAGGACATGTGTAGAAGGAATCTTAGCAAGTCTTGCCTTGCCTCAGACTTCGGTACTATCATGCTTTTCATGAGGACACACAGCAGGTTGGAATAAATCCTACGTCCCCTGAGCACTTGCCTCAGGAAATAGCATGGACAGTACAGATTTTCAGGTACTGGCCGACAGCCTCTGGATCACCTCACAGCCAGTGACCCACACACACTGCTTTAGTAACAGGGCAGGTGTAGTTCATTTTAATTTAATCTGAAAATAAAAAAAAAAAAAAATTGCCCAGTGTAGGGTTTTGAGAAAGGCAGGCCATAAAAGAAAAGCACAAAAATGAAGTAATCCTCTATAATACTAACATTTCTTAAACCTGTTTCCCAAGGACCAGATGAGCTTAATTTATCCTAAAAGCACTGTGCTGCTGAGCCATCCCAGGAGGGGTTAACTGGAGGGAAGCTTCCAACTATCGAGAGGCCTGGTAGGTTTGGATCCTAACAATGACTGTGTGCTCTGAAACACTCAGGAGTATGTCCACCAAGAGCCATTGGTCCTGGCCTTTCTAGCCATTTAGAAGCCCACGTGTGGCTGCACCTTCAGCCCTTCAGTCTAATGAATGAGGGAGCGATGAACGTGTTCTGTCAGCACATACCTTTATCTGGAGGAAATACACTTCTCGGGAAAAATAAACTGTGGTGCTTATGTCCAGGGTTCTCTAGAGACAAGTCTGGACTGGTTGGAAAGGAACTCAGTACTCTATTCCTTCTACGACGATCACACATTTGACAACGAACACCAATTGCTTTAAAGCTGAGCCCCAGTGTTTCATAAAACTGCCCTGTTTTACAAGTCACCGAGGCACACCTGGTCACCACTCCATCCGCCTTTCCAGGACCTCTTTGGACCTCATTTTTATCACTGTGCAAATTTCACAACACTGAAACAATTCTTCTTGCTCCCTGCAATCAGGCTGCAATGATGAGCAAGAGTGTTTGCTTTCACGGGTCTATAGGTGTGGTTCTGAGGTAACAGCCATGGAATTCTGAAGAGCTATAAAATGCCAAATGTTTTACATTTTCCTCTGCAGACAGAGGGTAACCTTTCAATCCCACATTCTCAAAGCAGTTTTACTTAATAAAACACATCTCTATGCAAACTGAGTATTTTCTTGTGTCTTGAATATATTTGCACACCTTTCTACACTAGGATGACCCTCCCCCACCAAACACTGCCCTTTGGAATCTTTGGTAGGATCAAATGTGATAGTTAACTCGGAGATTTTGAGCAAGTGGGATGTTACTAGGACCCCCCACAATTTGATTTTTAAGTGGAAGGCTACAGGCTGATGGCTTTGCATTATGTACTTTGTAAATGTGAATCATTAGCACTCTGTCCTTACTTCTAGGGATACAGGCCATGTAATGTTAGTTTGGAGACTCTAGCAGAAATGCATTAAATGGATAGACCAAGTATGTAATAGACTGAAAAAACTATCATGTGGAATTTTCTCTTAATCTCATTAAAAAAAAAAAAGAGGGAACACACTGAGTGTGGTGGTTTGAAAGAAAATGGCCCTCAAAGCAGGTGGCATTATTAGGAGATGTGGCCTTGTTGGAGGAAGTGTTTCACTGTGGGGGCAGGGTTTGAGGTCTCTTTTGCTCAAGCTTTGCTCACTGTGACACTCAGATCATTTCCTGTTGCCTGCAAGATGTTAAGACTCTCAACTCCTTCTCCAGCGCCATGTCTGCCTGCACATTGCCATGTCCCACCATGATGATAATGGACTGAACCACTGAACTGTAAGCAAGCTACCCCAATTAAATGTTTTCCTTATAAGAGCTGCAGTGGTCATGGAGTCTCTTTGGAGCAATAGAAACCCTAACTAAGATATCGAGGAAGCAGACTAAATTTTAGTAGTGGCGATTTAACTAGCCATCTCAGAACACACTGTCAGGGCAGAAGCTCTTCCTGCCCTATGCTATCTTGATATCAGGCTGTAATAGTGAATTCTCAATTCCCAGGTTGTTTATTTTTCTCTCCAAGTAGGTGGAGAATGTTTGCATTTCTTGGAAGACACCATGGCTGCCTTAGAAGTCATATATCTTCAAGCACATCAAAGAGACCAAGCAGGTGCCAGAAACAAGGGTTTAGCTCAGAAAACTAGTAGACAAATCTTCTCCAATCCTCAAGCTTTAGTGCTTTCTTCATTTTGAGGGACCAGAGACTGAACCCCAGAAGCATCGCACACAGAATTACATTCTGCCTTAGTCCCCGGTCTTTTCAAAGCTGCTTCATGCACACGAATTTTACTTTTCCCAGATAAGGACCTGGAGTTACTACAATGATGTTATAAGGCAAGCATGGCTCCATAGGATACCCTTTTATGTCACAAAACAAAACCAACAAACCAGAATCCCTGAAACAAATTTAGCCTGGAGTACATTTTCACCCTTGCATCACAGAAACAGGCATTTTTAAAGAGGTAATTCTTCACAGCGGGAGATCAGAGCAGTCCATTGCCACCCAGAACACACTGCAAAAAGGCTGGGCTTGTGATACCCTAGTCATAGGAACCAGGAGGTTGAAGAAACATTCAGCATGTGCTAACGGCATTATCAGCCTCTTGTCTCTCCTCTCCTTCATTGATGCTATGGCAGATAAAGACTAGAGAACTTGCCCTTGGCTTTGAGAGCTTGTCCCTGTTGGCTTTGCAGAACCCTGAGTGGCACCCTCTGGGTGACAGGACTCTTCTATACTAAGCTCCAGCTGAGATCAAATGTCTTATTTGACGTCTACATGTGTCCCTGTGGACTTGGGGGAAGGCAGAGTTCTGTCGTCACACAGAGTTAGGAATTTTAATTTAATACACCCAGACTCTGCCAGATGCCAGAAAGAGAGATTCCCCTTCCTCAAGCCTTTCTTTGCCCAAATGTCCAAACTTATAATGATCCATTAACCTCAAGATAGAAGAGTTCATCCAAAGTGCCCCTCTAAGAGGCACTTACAAAAGACAGGCATTTTTTTTCCCCCAGAGGAATATACCAAATTTAATTTTTAGATTTGCAGTATTTTCCTAGGGAAAAATCCTTATTTAAATTTCTTGTGATATTTATTCATTCTTTGGCTACAGATTCCTTCCTGGCCAAGCAAGAGGGAGAAAATGGGCTTCGTTTTTTTACATAATGGAACTCACACCGTTTTCACTCTCAATGCCTGAGGCATTTTGCCTGCTTTCCTCTTTCCTCCAGGGAGAACCAGTTTTGAAAGTAGAATAATCCAGCTGGTGTATTCTATAGACTGCTCAACTAAGAACGCTACCAAATTATACAATCAGGTTTATGATATGCTGCTCTTCATTCTGTGGCCATGACATAGTAACAGATACAAAAGAAGAGAGAGAAGTTAGATACGACATTTCTCCCCAACATATTATAACCAACTCCAAGCAAAGAAGGTAATAGGTTACATTATTTTAAATTAAAATGAGCCAGTATTTCTGGAACATTTTAGTGGCTGCTGGTATTGTACAAGGCATTATACAGATTAATGCAAAAGTTATCCAAACTGTAGTTGTTAACTATAAGAACTGGGCAATAATTGAAACTGAGAAAAGACGGCCCCTACCTAAAAAATGGAAAGTTAAAGTAGGAAAAAGAAATGAGCTACTGAGTTGAGGTGCTTAAAATTAGAACGAAATGATAGATAAGATTTTATGTGTAAAGAAAGTGAGACAAGCTATAGTAAACTTGTACAGACCAAAGCTCAATGCCAATGATCTGGTGTATGGATGGATTCTGAGGGCGTTTAGTTAATATTCTGACACTAGTGAATAGAGATCATTGCCCAGATTTATAGGCAAAATTGGGTTAGCAAGGTAGGACAGGACTGAAGCAGCATTTTTAATGATATAAATCAGCTTTTGGTTTAGATAACATGCACAAAAATGAACTTTCTTTAAGATAAAGTTGCTTCTCATGCTTTCTTAATTTAAATACATTGAGGTATACTAGAAAGAAGTGGATACAGGAAAGACACATCTATGATAAATGACTGAATGAACGCTTGAATAAAAGGCAGTACTATAGGCAGGAATCAGGGTGCTAGGATCTGAGCTGCTTAGGAGAAGAGAAAGTCACATGATTGTTCAGGCTCCTTGGTGAATGACACAGTCACAAGACTTCCAGATATGTGAGAGTTGTCTAGTGTGAAGTTCAAGGTACAAAAACAACGGCCAAAGGGAAAGAAGCCATCAATGAATGCAAGAATGGTACAGAGATGAGGACGCGGCAAATTTAACACTTAGCCTAGGCTATTTTGTGAAAAATACCTATTATTGTCAAAAGTAATATCAAAATGTGTATTAATGACATGGGAGGAAATCTGCAGTCACATCTTGCCTATGACTTAGCACACACAAAATGAATCATCAACCTCACACCACCTCCAACTTTTGTAAAGTATTTTAAAGGAAATTGGACAACGACCTCCTTAAAGTATGATGCTAGCATATTAATATGTGGGAAGAGTCGAGAATAGAGTTGGTGTTGGAGTCCTGTCAAGCAAGTCAGGAGAAACACCATGATGACAGCTGGATTAATCAGAAATAGTTAAGTTCCCTCAAACTCTAATTTTGCTAATTTTACATTTTTTGATATTGAAAAGGAGCTGATTTTAAAAGTAAAATTGAAATAGAATTATTTATTTGCATAGAAAAGACTTCAGGTAGATAAACTAATAAATATGTGCTTCCCCGTGTTGGTGCGTATCACTAATCAAATGTTGCAAAATTGAATTAACTCAGTACAGAAAAATGCAAAGGCTTATCCAAAATGATATTCAAATCACCTCTTCTAATTAGCACCAAGCATTTATTTGAATAGTTTGCATTCAGAGTTCATGCTAGGACTTTTTAATGGCAAAGATAATTTGAAAAT